GCCACCGCTCTTAGGTTGGAGGCCGTTGCTCTTAGGTTGGAGGCCATTGCTTTTAGGTTGGATGCCATTGCTATTAAGTTAGAGGCCATTGCTTCTAGGTTGGAGGCCATCGCTACTATTAGGTTTCTTTTGCTCTTAATATGTCCGCGTTTCTTATGTGCCCTTAGTCTTGGACCATTTCCCCCCTCTGTAGGCGCCACAGTTTCGAGCGCTTGCTGCTGACTTCGAGTTCCCACCTAAGACCTCCATGAACTCAACCTGTGCGCATTGATGACATGGCTTTCCATGGCTGAAAGATGATTATATAGCTATAAAATATAGCTATCTTAGCGTTGCTGCTTGCAAACGGTTGTGTGCATATTCAACCGTTTGTAGAGCTGAGAAACTGGTGGCTTGAGCAACTCGCTTTTTTGTTCCTCCGGGTGGATGAGAGGAGTTGAATGAAAAGAGCTTTCCATTTGGAGGCTTTGGCGCTGCTGGGTGAAGGCTGATTGCCGGCAGCGTTGCCCTCAGGGAGGGCCAAACACATATTTAGCAGTTGTTAGATTCTGTAGAATTTGTTGGGGGTCCAAACTACGGTTCTCAGCACAACATAGCACAGCAACAATTATGCAAGCCGAATGACATGATGACATGCCATTCTTGCCTATCACAAGGCCATTCTCGGAAATGTTGCGGCAGTTGGAGGCCACCGCAACATCGATGTCAGATATATATATATATAAGATTCTCTAACATTGGCTGATGCAGGCAGCCAGGCAACCCTCTGATTTGTTTTGGCTTTGTTTGCTTCAACCTGAATCAACGTAGTACAAATATATATATATATATAATATATATTTATTTGGTATATATTTATATTTGCATATCTATCCACTTCACATTGTCTCCACTTAGTTCCATTTGCAGGTATGGCTATCGAGTCAGAAAGACCGCAAGGCTTCTCCTGAAGCGCCATCAGTGACAGATGCTTTGTGCTCGAAATGTGGCCACCTCCTTGCAATATCTGGCAATAAGCAATCTTATTCTTCCAGTTTCATAGAGGAGACCTTAAGGCAAGGTCGTGTTAGTTGATGTTGAACAAGTCCGCTAAGGAGCACAATCGGCTACTGCATATATATATATATATATTGCATTATATTGCCATGGTTTAGACTTCTCCAAGTCCGAATGGTTTTTGGTTTCAGCCACTTTGTTGCGTTTGAGGTGGTCCTTTTTGGCGAGTCCTTCGGCGGACTTTTGTCTCTTGCCGTGGCTCTTCGTGTTGGTCGGGACAGGCTGAAAGGCCATGATTTTCCCGAGTCTTTTGCATTGATCGAATGAGGCATTCCTCGTCATGGTCACATCATCTTGGATGGAAACCAGATGTAGATGATGTAGACGGTAACAAGCTAAGAATTCTTGTGACGAAAGTGATCTGTGGCCGTGAGTTGGCTCGATCAGCCGGAATGGGGTTGCCGTTCCCGTGTTTGTTTCCGTTTGCCACTCGGCCTTTGGTCTTTACAGGGCTTTAGTACTTTACTTTAATTACTCTTTAGCCTCAACGTGTTTTGGGTGTAATGTAGCGTGCCCCTGTTGTGCCAAGGTCAGGCCATCCTCGAGCTAAATGCCAGTGAGCTCAGTGTTGTTGGGCATACAATAGCCATACATCCACGCATCACAAATGAAATCAATGTACCCAGTGTCACCAATGCATCTATCAATCAAAACCTTCAGCTTTAGCGGGTGCGATGGAGGGAGGCATTGGGGGCCAAGGTTCGACTTCCATGTCTTGCATGTGGCACTTGCAGCACTAGCAACTGCGGTGGAGCACACAGGACCAGGAGAGCATGCGGCCACTGTCACTCATGTAGAGAATTTTGGTGGACATGTGTGTGCTGCTTGTGTGTGATGGCGATCTTGTATATCATATGCGGAAGACGTCGCAGATTGTGGTTCTGGGCAGCAAGGACCTGCGCCCCCCATCACACGCCGCCCTGTTGCACCTGGGTGGCAGAAACAAAATAATCATAACTTATAACAAAAATAAAGCTTCGCATTTCAGGACTCACAGCCGGCCACCAGTGGCCAGATTTGAGGGCCTAGGCCGAGACATGCTAGCAGTTTGATTTCAACATATGAGCAGTGAGGAGACAGGAGCCGTCTGCAGATGACAAAGCCTTCCTGGAGCTTCCAGATCCTTGGCACAAATAAGGCCGTTAAGGCCTTCAACAGCGCAGCAGGTGACGATACTGTAGTTAAAGCTCTGTCAAGGTGAGGCAATTGAAGCTTCATGCCCCTGCCAAGGCCAACCCGAATGGAGGTGACTCATTTGCAATTTTGATACATACATTTTGCCTAAAACAATCTCAACCATGCCATCATACCAACATGACTTGTTTTTTAACACAACATGACTTGCAAACCGTAGAGGCTATCAGATGGGCCCGATGGGTCCTCCACCTCCGATCGCCATGAGTCCTATGGGTGGAGTACCTGGAGGCACTGGGGCGAATTGGGGTGGCCTTTCAGCTCCATCGTTCAAGCCGTTTGCCCGATGTGTCAGGCATGTCGATGTAATGGCAGATAAATCTCATTCAATTGGCAAGTCTTCACCAGACTTGGTGTGCATTGCTGCAGCCATTTGGTTCATGGGATTGGCGACGAATATTTATTTGCCTCAGTGCCGCTCAGCCTTGGCATAGACTATCCATGTCGCAAAGTTTTGGATTTGTATTGGTGCTGTACGGTTTGTTTCTGGTGGCATGTGGAGGTGCAGGAGCATGGTTGCATAACTGGGAGAAGAAGGCTATGCATTCTTTGTATGCGGGTCTTGGTGGCTGTGTGTCCATGGTTATTTGTGGCATCCTTGCAGCCAGCAACATCAAGATCCTTGTGGCCGTGGGTGTGCACCTGGCTCTCGTATTGATGCTTGTATTCATTGTAGTTTTTGGAGTTCAGGCTTTCAAGTCCACAGGGGACCCAGACAAGTTCGACCGCCTGGTGTTGTTTCTCGTCATGGGCATTGGGTCGGCAATGGCACTGGGGAAGGCCATTAGCATGAAGCCCAAGAAAGAGAAGAAGTAGTGCTGGAACCAGTCTATGTGAAGTGGCTGCTTGCTGTCTGAAAAATGCAGAAAGGCCCCCTGCTAGGAAACAGAGTGTGAAATGTTGCTACCAAATAGTCAGGACGAACATGCTGTGTTCGCACAATTTCGCGCAGAGTGCCAACTGACAAAGCGATATGCAGCCAGACCATTTGGCAAAAAATGGGTAGCCAGAGCCAAGCTGCATCACCTAGAATGCTTCTTGATTCATTCGTATGGCATTATTTTCATCCGACGTTATTTGTGCTGACCCTCACGAGCTTGCCAGTGATTGAACTTTTGTGTAGGTGGTCCTGTTTTGATGCCTCCATTGCCTCAAGGAGGCACCGGCATGAAAGATTCACAATAAGATACAATAAGCTAAGTTTGTTTTGGTGGCTGACTGGTATCGCCGGTATCGCCAGGCTATGGACCTATGCAGCCAGGCCCAGGCCGACGAGAGAGTGGAAGGGATCTGCCAACGATGTAGCTCATTTCTTTAGTATGATATACTGTAGAAGATGGATGGTTCTTGTCCCGTCAGGCCCTGGCATGCCGATGGTTTCGTCTGGACTTGCAGGCAAGGCTGCTGTTTCAACCAACTACTAAGCAGATCGAAAGCGTGTGGCTCTAGAAATTTGTTTAGTAATTTCATATTGTCCGACATATTCCAACAGTTGCAGTCCGGTGTCAGATGTGTTTGTCAACAAGGTGTTATACGAACGTGTGAGGCACAACTGACCTGCAAAGTGCTAGCTGCTAGGTCGTCAAGGCGGAAGCTTGGACACAGCTCCGGCCATGCCTGGAGATCCATTTGCCGGAGCGGCCTGTGTGGTACCAATGTGGAACAAGAAGGAGCCAACAGTGAGAGCTTGGCTATATTATCTATATTGAAATCATCTCGCTGAATCCTGTTGAAGGAGTTCCTTTGTGAAGAGCATGTGGAGGTGCCGGAAGATGAGACCTTTACCGACTTTAATGACATCAAGCGCAAGAAACTGCACGTGTCTCGCTCCAAATTAGCCACGTATTTTTGTACAGCTACTAGTAGCATCGGAGCCGTATGCATCCTGGTTCCAGGATGGGTCAAGCTGCACCACCCAATGCCCACACGCAAGATGGTGGCAGGTTGCAACCCAGGATGTTTTGTGACTCGGCCTGCAGGTGATTTGATGCCAGGCATGAATGTAGAGGTGCCATACGCTACCAACAAACAGCAACCGTGTTTTCAAATCTATCATGAAGCTCAGTGCATTTGAGGGGCTGCACATGCTTCAAAGGCCAGCAGCAGCAGCAGCAGCAGCATGTTGTGGTTGAAATATGCCGCTAAAATTGGCTATTATGCAGTATGCAGTTAATCAAAGGTCATCATCACTCAGGAAGGCAAGCCTTGCAACAACCAAAAAGACTAAATTTATTTGTCCGGACGAGGGGCTGAGATTCTTCCAGCAAAGGACTTGCCGAGACGGTAGATGGAGAGATGACACTGGCCGCCCAGCGCAGGAGCGCATTTGTTGCACCCCACATGTCGATCTGTCGCATTGCGAGTGGGCGAGCTTGGGGTCACGGAGTGACGGCAATGCTGCTAACAAGGGCCTTACTAGTAGTAACAATGAAAAAGAAGCTTCAGACCTTTAGACCTTTTTTCATCGTTTTGTTACTACTAGTAAGGCCCTTGTTACTAGTAGCGATGCACTTGTTTCTAATAGCACATGTTGGTCTTCTGCTGGTATTTATGGCACGGATTCCGCATTGCTGCCAATCTGCGTTCGGCCTGGGCACTTCTGCTTGGATCAACGGAGAAACATGTCACCTCCCACATGGACACACAGGACCGACAGGACGTAAAAAAGGAACAATGGCTGACAAATTGGCATGATGATGATGATGATGATGATGAGGATTTAAATATATATACATCCCCCATGATATTTGGACTAGAAAATGGGGGTGTCAACGTACGTAGAAAACGGCAATTCTTTAGTGTCAAAAAGGTACTGTAAACTCACCGAGAAGGGGTCAGGAGCCTCATTTTCTAGTGACATGTAGGTCACTAGAAAATGAGGATCACAGGTCTCATAGGCATGCTGGCAGGTTCATTTTCTAGACATCACCTTGTTTTCTTGATCCCACCGTGATCCTCATTTTCTAGTCGGGGTTTCTCATTTTCTAGTGGCTTTGGTGTCTCGACCAGCACAAGGTACACCCAAATCCTCAGACACTGCCATACCCTACCATTCCATTTCTGGCACTCTGGCCAGAAATGGAATGGTGGGGTATCCAGTCAGACCAAATTCACAAGAAAATGATGGGTTCTAGGTCTTCAGGGTGTGTTCCTCATTTCTAGTTTTGGTGTCTCGATCGGCACAAGGTACACCCAAATCCTCAAACACTGCCATACCCTACCATTCCATATCTGGCACTCTGGCCAAGAAAGGGTAGGGTATCCAGCCAGACCAATTCAGTAGAAAATTATGGGTTCTAGGTGGCTTTGGTGCCTCGACCACCACCATTTGGGATTGTTTGTTCGCGTCTCTTGTCATTCACACTTCATACTTTGTGTTTCACTTTATTGAACTTTTGTGTCCGAGTTATTTCATGTTGTTCCGACTGCATGCTCCAGTGGAGCCCTTTGTGTTGTGTTCGGCCAGCTGCTTGAGATGACTTGAGTGGTTTCAGGAGCTTGTTTGTGATACCTCAAATGTGCGCTTTAGCTGCAAATGGTTTGGCCAACAGCAATGCAACAGGTGATAACAGGTGTGGTTTGCCGAGAATGATCCAGAAAACAGCATCAATTTGCCAACGACAATCCCAGCTGTACCCTTTTTTGCAGTGTTCCGTTGCTCAGGTTCTACTTCACCACACTTTTAGTGATCATACTGATTGCTTTGCTTTGCACCCCTGGTGGGCGGAAATCCTTCCGCCAGGCCCGACAGGCGCACGGTTAGTTTGGGCATTACCAAAACCGCTTTAAGATGGCAGTGATGAATAGAACATTAGGAGCAAGATTACTAGGGGCTCTTGGCCGTACTACTAGGAGCAAGGGCACCGCGATTAGAAACAAGAAAGAACTAGAATGAGTATTCAGGAATGTAAGTAATTAAGTTATACTTATTTTGTGACTAAATTAGATGGCAGGGTTACATTGCGTCGGTTTTCATGCTGGAATTTCTCGCAATGACTCCCTTTCGGCGGGGTGTCGGTTGTGATGGAGAAACGTGTTTCAAACGTTTGGACCAGGCAGGAACCACGGCAGCAGCACCGAAGATGGAGCCAGGATTGCTGATACAAGATCAGATCCAAACATTTCTATACCCTACTTGCAAGACACGATCAAACTGAGGTAAGAAGTGTTGTTTCTCTCTCTCTCTCTATCCCCCTCTATGTATGCATAAGTATACGTGGTTGTTTGAGCGTGAGCTACGATATTTTTGTTGGTTCTGCTTGGTTTCTACTATATACTGTACTTCAGTCGGCTTCGCACAGCAATCTGCAAAGCCATGGCAAGAGCAGTTGTTTGAGATGTTATAAGTTGTCTAATTACACCAAGGCAAAAGGCGTGACACACACTGAATTGCAGTGTAAGATGGTGTAGGCATGCTAATTGGGGTGATGGGGCTTGCAAATGGCTAGTTTGATGCTGCAACGCAACTTTACCAGAAGTCCTTGCCTCTTGTTGTTCATTGTCAGAATTCGAGCTTTCAGGAGCTGAAAAGAAGGACGAGGATGGAAAAAAAGGTAGGAACAGAACGGAAAGGAGCACCCCCAAAAAGAGTGGACAGAAGCAAGGGGCGCACAGGTAGTGACAGAGAGTTTGACATGTTGATTTGTATTTTTGGCCCACTACGTGCGAGCAGTAGCAGCGGCCTTTTTTTGTTGTCCTTTTCTCGTGCCTATTCCATGTAGGCAGAAGATAAGGAAGGAGATGCCCAGGAGCCGGACGGGATGAAGGAGAAGTGCCATGACGATAGGGATAGGGCTATATGTTTGCTTCAAATTGTTTCAACTCGAATTAAAGAAGTTGGTTGTCATCAGACTTAAGGCATCTTAAGATATCTTAAGACCTTTCCCACCAGAAACATGCTTGGTTCGACCATTGAACATCTTGCAAGTGCCAGATGATTTTCTTGAGATTCCGCTATGATCTACATTGTCGAACCACTTGAAACTGCCATTTGGTGGGTAGTGTGCTTCACGTGTCTTCACAGTGTAGCCGCTAATCAATCAATAAGTTGGTTTAACCGCTTCACTCCTTTAAGGCGATGCCAGGAGCCCCTAGTGGCGTCCTTGCTCCTAGTAGAAATAGTTCCACACCCGATCATTGGAGGGTTGTACCAGCAGTGTAGTAATGGCTGCTTGCCTTGGCATGGTGTTGCCCACCCAGGTCCATGAGTCCACCAGAAGAATTTTTGCAACTTTATGTCTTCTTGAGCTTTCCAAGGATGCTTTAGAATTGACTGTGATCAACAGGGAAACTGGTAGGTAGATTCTTTGTTCTTTATTGTCCTTGCAACACATGACGCAGGGGAAATCAAGTGAGTCGAATGGCCGTTTCTTTAGAACCGTAGAATCAGAGAAAACACTGTTTGTAGGACGATTCCACCTTGTCATGTACGGCTGCCTGTGGTCATGTTATGATTGTCTTCTCCAGTCGTCCATGGAAGGACAAACCAGAAGGGCCAAAGTGACCGGCGCTGTACCAGACCCCTGCAGCGGTGGAGTGAAACGGAATGAGGAGCCCCGAACGTAGCGTCCTTGCTCCTAGTAGTAAGGCACTTGTTACTAGAAGCGATGCACTTGTTACTAGTAGCTTCTTGTTACTACTAGTAAGGCACCTGTTACTAGTAAGGCCTTTGTTCCAACAAAAATCTAATATAACATCTAGTAACGAGCGACATCGTAACACCAGTGAGCTGGCTTCGTGAGGCCTCAGTGACGTGACATGTGTCATGGCAATTGCAAGTAGCTTATGAAGTTGGTTGCGCAAGACAAAAAGAGTTTGGATTCAACACTTTGCTGAGCACGGCCCTTTCAGCACTGTAAAAAACACATGCGACGACGTAGTGCTTTTTGAGAAGCTTTTGGCGAGGCCTGGTGTTGGTAAACCCGGCAACTTCCTTTGACCGGACTGTGTGGCCTCTCCTGGGCCAGACACCTAGAAAGACAAAATTACACTTCTTTTGTAGATGATAGCGTAAAGTTCGTTCCTCAGATGAAACTTGTCGACAATGGGTTTGCTCACGCTTTGTGCTCAATGTTCTTGAGAAGGACTGCTTTGAGGTCGGGTCCTAGCTTCCGTACCAAATGTCTAGTCCCAAGACAATGCTTTGGTGACAAGTGTATGGTGAATCATGCAAGATTGTGCTTGCTGCCTGCTTGATGTTCTCAATCAGGCGGAGGTTTGATAAAACACTGAAAGTAGCGATAGCAAAGTTGTTGCTTGGCATCAGGAACCTCAATCGCTACGGCCATGGGCTCCGCACAAAGACTTGAACGACCTACTTCAGGCAGTACGGCAGTACGTAATATGCTATGCTGCTATGCTTAATATATGTTTTGTTTTGTCTCCTTGAGTTATGGTGTCTTTTCTCAAACGTTTGCTTGGACAGCAGGACCTTCAAGACCGTGCTGGACAGTCGCCCTATCCATATGTTGCAGGGTCAGCAGGGGCGCCTACAAGTAGATTGGTTTGAGGCTTCTTGGGGCATGGCTAGATCGAGGGGTCATTTTGTCATGCTTGATCAGCATAGCAGACTCAACATGTGACTGGCAAGAACGCCGTCTCAGTTCATGCTGAAGCCTTGCAAGCAAGGCCTTGACCGGAACGGTTGCCGATTCAACACAGCTTGGAACCAAGCTGTCCACAGTGCGGTGAAGGCCGCATCCTGTTCTCAGTGTCAGCATGAAGGTAGATACTGTAGAAGGATATTGAAGGTCAGGACTTGGAAATGAGGATGCTGCTGGTGTGATTCACGCCTGTTCCCACAAACAAACTTGGCAATAGTAGCAAAGATTTATGATGGTCTGACAGTGTGGATATTGAATGATATTGATGGTGCTGTTGTTCTTCCTCCAACCTAGACACATGTTCCAACAGCTGGGTGTGTTTATGTCCCTGATGGACCCAGGCTGGGACGCCTGTTCTCGCGCATTGCTTGGGACCTAAACAGCTAACTATTTGAGGTCAAGAGGACAGGTACCTCATAAGGCTTAAGGGCCCAGCAGTTAAAGGCAGCATAGTTGTCAATCTTTTGCGAGGCTCATTTATATACTGTATGTATATTAGACGTGCTTTGGAGTTGTATGGAGTTGTGGAAATTCTGCTTTGTGTCATGCATGTACACATGTACAATGTACACTGTACACACCTTTTTTGGGCTTCTTATTGGCAGACAGGAGAGAATTGTAATTCGAGGGCTTGCAAATCATGAACAGCAGCAATGCGCTCGATCCTAGCATCGAAAACTTCCTCCTGTGCGCTTTGCCGCGCCTCAAACGCCCAAGCCTAGAGCTTGCAATGTGCACGTGAAGTCTCAAAGCAACAAGAGTCGCATGAGGGAAGCGAGAGCACAAGGAAAGGGTAGAGTTAGTGGTAGAGTTGTTTCAATGACTTTCAAGGTATTTGGATTCAATGAACCTGAATGGAGAGCCCAGCACGAGAGCACCAAGAGGAGATACTGCAACCATAGAAGCATTGCACTTGTTTGCACTCCAGGTACCCAGAGAACCTTGCCCAGCTCCTGCCGCCGGAGACAGTGCGTTTTCGACTTCGTGGTTGGCTTCGTGATGGTTGCGAATGGGCGCTCTCCTCAAACTTGACGCCCTGAAATTTGCAAGGTTCAACGGCCACACAGGAGACTTTCCAATGAGCGTCACCATAAAACATCGTGTCGTAATCCTTGCAATAAAGAACATCCAACAAAGGCTCAAAGGCTGAAACAAAAAACTTCCATTTGCGGCACCCACTGGTAAAGAACACAGGAAGCACATGGAAACATTACAGTTTGCTGTTTTTTTGTCAGGTCAACAGCGAGTTGCGGCGACGTCGTGGGTCCTCCTTTGGAGGCAAAACACCTCACCTGTGTTGTGCATTGACAACACTGGTGGCGGGGCCAATGTTGGCAGTGCGCGCATGTCGATCATTTGACTCTATAAAATGCCTTTTGGCGCTTGTCCCTCATTTTACAGAGCGTGACCCATTTTGTGGTTTTGTTGTTTTTTCTCCAGGTCCTTTGACAGCATTTTAGGAATTTTGTTGGTTTTTAGTTGTGACTGTTTGCATGTCTTGTGAACCCTTGCGGAGCATTTTATGGAGGAGTAGAGGGCTGACAAACTCACTTAGCTCATGGATAATTGGATAACTTGAGATCTGGATTGGCATGTTATAGAAAACATGTCGTGAGAGCATCTGGATTTGGTTTTGCATTTTATAGAGAATTCAGGGGTTGCCATATATATGTGACAGCGATCGCACCTGGCACTAGCATTCTGTAGAAAGACCATTATTTTATCGAGGGGGGTAGATCCTGATCCCTATCCACAACCATCCAGATGCACTTTCAACCCTGCAAAAGAAACCACAGGTTGTTCCCAAGCGCGAATTCCATCGCGTTTCCAAGCCCACCAAAAATGCACTCGGTGATTTTGTGGACTGGGGAAAACTGATGCGCTTTACAGGCCCCTAGAATGCATCCAGAGGTTTGGCGGAGAGGCAACAAGAGTTCCGCAGGTTTTGTGAATGTTTTTTGGTTCTGGCCAGGCTGGCCAATCCCCCAAGATTCCCTAAGATATTCCAAGCCCCCTGTCCCAAATTTGACATTGGGAACTCGAGGCATTGCATGTTATAGAGGCTCTTTGGGAGATTCGAGCTGTCAAGAGAAAGGTCTGGATAACATGCTTGTCAAATGATATTTTGATTGAAAAAAGGATTCGTGTTGTTAACATGTAATTTACCGACCTTGCTTCATCTTTATTTGGTTTTGCATGCTATAGAAATATGTTATCCCAAGTGTTAACCGACTACAGTATATATGTTCTTTCTTGGGTTTGTTTTTGCATTTTATAGAGATCGTGTTTTTTGTATGGGGATCTGGCTTATCATTCGATAGAGGTTTCACTTCTCCATTCTTCAATTGATATTTTACCACTGCTGGACCTGACTTTGCATTTTAGAGAGACGCCTGTGCCGCACGTGCCAGTCATGTTATAGGGAATTTATCCTATGCAACCCTTTTATAGAGACCATTTGTCTATAAGATGCCCGGCAAGTGGCCCCAGTGTCTAAGCACAGAGGATCCCGCACTGATAGTGCCAGACATGTTCCCGATTTCTCGATTCAGGCAATCCTTTGCCGTCTTGCACTTAGCTCATTTCCACCGCTGGTTCTTGAAATTCCCACTGGAGGGCTCGGCTGTGCCAGAATGCTTTTCCTTACTGCATTTTTTCTCGCTCAAGCAAGTGAAGCTGGAGGGCAAAGTGAGCCTTAGCCATGGACCAAATTTGAAACAGTGTCATAGTCATCGGTTTACCCTTCCTGCTTTTAGGCTGACAAAGCTGATTGATCATGCAGAAACCAAACTGGCAGAAGCCTTGCTGAAGCCTTGATTTCCATAAGCCAACATGATACGCTAAATTTACGAGGGACCTTGCACATATTTCGTACAGATGCACTCAACGACGGCAATTGCCATGACGATGCTTGCCAGAATACCTAAGAGTGATTTGTGATTTGGCATTGATGCCGTATGCCATGATTGGTGCTGATGATGAAAGTATGAGCGGGGCTTGATCATTGGAGTGAACGATGGAGGAGTACCCTCGGGAGGTGCAGGGTCAAAAATTCCCATAGTCCTTGTGGAGAGCTGGGAGATGCTGCGAGTGTTTGTATGCGTATATGTGAAAGTGTGGTGCGGTGCATATCGAAAAGTTATTATGGCTTTGCCTAATGGGTCTCACACGGGGTGACTCTGTGTTAACAATCAAGTAATGTCGTTCTCTGACTAACGGGGCGAGAGGTGAGAGGTGTGTATAAATTTTAGATTGATGTATATATATATATACATATTTGTAAATATGCACCAGGCACAAGTCAGACTTGCACCCAGGTGCAAGGACAGCCTTTGCTGTTGGCAGCACTTGTTGGTGCCACATCTTTGCATCCATCGCTGACTGAATCACTGCATGAAGCAGCGGTGAATGCAAGTGGACAGCGTCGGTTCAAGCACCTTGGCGCAGAAGCGAACTGGGTTTGATGGACAACGTGGAACAACAGGAGATTCGCTCACTATTGCGTAGACAATCTAGTTCTGCACAGCTGGCACTGCAAGCTGCGCAGGCTTAAGTTGATTGGTACTGTAATTAGTCCGTGCATTGACATTTGTGCTGAAACCATCGAAATCTTGCATGATTTGGAATGTGTCCAGCAGTCTTTTTCGGAGTTGGATGCAATCAGTTTATCGGTCTAGCAGAATTTATTTTGTAAAAGCTGCTGCCACTTGCACTGCAGGTATTTGTCCTCCACGTACGATATGCGCATTCTTCCTGCAAAACGTTGTGCACGCGATGGGTCGTCTTATCGCATGGAGGGAGTACTGAAGCGAAAATGGCTTGAGAAGATGTGTGGAAGCGTTCCAGCCGTTTTGGTCTTGTGCATTGATTGGTCAGAAGATCTGAGTCAGCCACAGCAGGACGAGACCAACGTTAGAGTTTTCAGAAACATATTTGTTTGCCTGTTCAGTCTCATATTGACAGCATTGATGGTTGATTTGTTGTCAGCGGCTTACAAGAACTGTTTAATATTTAGCCTTGCCAATTTGAACAGTCACCCCCAAAAGCTCGGAAACATGGGGAAACAGTTTGGTCATGAGAGGTCATGAGTCAGACATACCATGACATACCTGTTGGCATCTGTTGGCCTAGCAGGAGGAATCCCAAGCATTGCATTACTTGCAGCATGCGCGACGCCAGGCCAAGGACTGGCCTGTGAAATGCTGTTGATGTCAAAAGGCCGTTTTAGACACATGTTTAAGGGTAGTTGTAGCTTCCTTCAAGAGGCGTTTGGTACTAGAAAGAGTTCTTTTTTGTGTTTGCAGCAAGGGGTAAAGCCTTCAGGGCAGGCTTTCTAGAGGCAGGCAGGAACTCCCTGATTTGGCCAGACAGGAGAGAGACTTGAGACTCGTCGTGTTCCTGGTGCTGCACACAGGAATCGCTGATCCTGAGGCACAGAATTGAGATTTTGATAGATTTTGAACACGTGCGCTGAGACTTCTCTTCCGGATTCCGGTCTGTACATATACACAAGTTGCCGGTTTGGACACCCAGCTTTAGTCTACGGATTCATGGTTCGTATACTATGTCGTATACAGCACATGCTCCTGAGCAGGCTTGTGTATATAGTATGTGTGTGTGTTTTTGTTCATTAATTTATAGTATATAACTATATATTACAATATAATAACCTAGCTGTGCAACCCAACAGCAGGTAGCAGTTCAATCGACCGGAACTGTTCAAACAAAAGTGCGTCGCTAAAGCTCCAATGCAACTCCAATCCATGTGTGAAATGCAACGGGAGGTGGGGGGGCGGGAACAACAACGAGAGCACCAGTCCAGGAGATGAGGAAGAGGCAGGTGGAAAGGGCATCAGAACTACAAACACGTCGTTCTCAGCACAAAGGCGTGTTGCTGGGTACTTACAAACACCTGCCACACTATTGGTCCTACTAAGACTACTGTACTGCTTGGAAAGAAGGATTTGTAACAGGAACAGCGCAGAAACGTGTTGCAACTGCCTGTGGCCTTGCTGCGCGTACAACATATCGTGCGCTGCGTAGAAAACAGACTGCTTCGTTACAGCGGCAAAAGGCAGACTACAAGTCATTGTTGTTGGTGGAGAAACGTCCTGCTAGGTGCAAGCAACTTCTGGGGCATTGTTGCGCAAAGAACGTGACATGTAGTTAGATGGAGTGTAGTGTAGAATGAATGCTCCGCAATGATGGCAGGAGGCACACCACAAAGAAAGGCTGCTTCGTAGCAGGGACATGTACGAGGCACACTAATTGCGAGCGAACAAGCCAGTGAGGCTGCAGATACATCTTGCTGAGGACGCGCAACTGCCTGTGGCATTGTGTCACATCTGGCTTTGGTATTGGTTTGCCGAAACCGGAGGCAAAAGGCACACCGGTGCAGAAACCTTCCTTTGAGGTACGCGATTTTACCTGGGGCCTTGCCAGTGGCGCAAAGGAAGAAACTGCTGCATAGAATCATCGTGCTAAGTTGCCTCAGCGCAAAAGCTGCCTCCGGCCAAAATACGTCCTTCTCGGTACGTGCAACGTCCTGTGGGTTTCCTGCGCATAGCGGCGGCACATGGCACACTATACCGGCGACCCATTTTCAGACAGCTGCCAGGGACCAATTCCGGTTTTCAAGCCCTGTAGACAGATGGCACACCGCCCCCAACCCAAACAGCACCCAACAGCGAACCAGGGTTCCAGGGTGGAATTCCGGCTTTTAACCCAGTGGCCGCTGACAAATGCAGACCACTCTCAGCCCCAGAGATTGAAACCCAACTGCGTTTTGCTGTTGGACCTGTTGTACGAAAGCTAGCCGATATAGACTAGGCTGAAGTTTTAGGCGAACGAAGTGAGTTTAAGGGCGTGGGGTGGGGAATGGGTCGAAAAAGTATTTTGGATGGGTGAAGGCCCTTTTATAATGAAGGTGGCGCCGCAAGGTTGATACTAGATGATACTAGCATGTTTTGCACCGTCAACTGGGCATGACGGCATTGTTTGGTGTGTTTTGGCAAATTTGTCGGTTCCAGAATGGTAACATATATATTGTGATTTACAGTATGTTCAGTTTAGTTTGTCCAGACAAGCCGTGCGTGAAGTCGAGCAATGCGTGAAGGGGAAAGATGGTGTGATTTACATCTAGGTGCAGAGAGCCGAAGACAAACTCTTAAACCGCAAATTTGGGCTGGTGCCCTTTTGCATTGTTTGTGATTTTGGGCTGTCTCGGGGTAAAAAGGGGCACCTTTTGGTCAATGCGGCGGTAGCACCAGGGTTCCGATGTCAGTGAGGGCAAAAAAGGGATAGTTCCCAAGAGCAAGTCGGGCATTCATTCACGGCAAGAAAGGACACAAATGAACAAGCGAGTGATAACACCAAAAAGGACCTTACTTACGGAAAAATTTTTGTTGGTGCCCTTTGGCACGTTTTTCGTCTCCGAGCAAAAAAGGCACTTCCAAGACCGGGCTCTGGCGATAATACCCTTGACAAAGCAGGACATGGCAGATGCATCTTCGAGCGTTTCAATTGAATCTTGTGAGTCGCTGCATGAGTTGATTTGTCGATGCAGGTGTGGAAAGACATTTTTGATAGAACTATATGAAGAGGTTGCTGCCCTTCAGTGTTTTTTGGAACACCATCTCGCAGAGGCACCTCAAGACCTCAAGGAAACATGTTGTTTCAGTCCCTTTTGTGTTTTGTGTGGAGGCCGCCTCGGGGCAAAAGAGGGCACCTGCGAAAAGCGGGTTCTAGGGACAGGAATTGGACAAAGCAGGACACGGCAGAAGCATCCTCGAGTATATATTTTAAATTGATCTTGCGAACACCGTGGGTATTATCAGATGCCTATGCGGGAGTGGAGGCTCTCATGAACTTTTTGGGTGAAACACAATGCTCTAAGCGTTTGCGAGGCCTGGCGGGTCCCCTCACTTTTTATGTATCTATAATCCGGTATTCTATTTTAGAAATGTTTTGAATATTTTAACTAGAAGGTGCAATTTTGGTGGTTTCCAAGCAAGGATTCAAATAGAAGAACTTACATGGTGCAAGAGGTCCTTTTGTTGATGTTTTTTTGATGCCTTTTGGGCACTCTTCCAATATCTTCTGTTTGAACGGTCTTGCCAGAGAAGCTTGATTCCGTAATATTCACAGTGAATTCTTGAAGTTTTGGATGATCTTGTCCAAAATTTAGCCGGGACACACGTTGCAAGTTAAACCCAAAAATCAGAGGACCTAGTGCACCATCCAAGATTTCCAGAATCCCGGTACAAAACGGTAAAGCACCTCGATTTTTTTTGAATTTGTCACGAAAGCTAGCTGTAGCTAGCTGGAGTCTGTCTTGCTTTAGCAAGGAGGGTGGGAGCTGAGGACCTGAGTGCTATTACCTGATATATCAGGACTAGACACCCCCCCCTCGCGGGGTTCAACTCCACCCTTCTCCTCTCCTCCTCGGTAACTGCTGCTGCTGCTTGGTCGCTGCTGCTGCTGCTGGCATCTTATCTGCGCCTGGCTCTTGGCTGCTTGCTGGTTGCTGCTGCTTGCATGCTTGGTGCTGCTGGATGCTCTTGGCT